AAAAAAAAAAAAAAAAAAAAAAAAAAAAAATTAATAATTATATTTTCATTAGCCCTTTTTCTAAAAATTTCATAAAGCTTGTAACTTTATCAAAAAAATAAAAAATAAAAAATAATAATAATAATAATAAAATAAAATAAAATAAAATAAAATAAAACAAAAAATAAATAAATAAATTAAATTCTTACAGCATAAGCAGCAGCTAATAAATTCATGTCCAAACCAATAGCCCAAGCTTTTGTCCTGTGCTCCATAACAAATGTCACAGCAATAGATTGAAGTGTTCCCAAGAAACACACTATTGCTGTTAGTGAAAGCTGAGCTGTGTATTTCCTCAATGTAATTGCCTATAAACCATCCAAAAAATATAAAAATAAATAAAAAAAATCAAACAATTGTCTCTAATTTTTGTACATTAGACCTAAAAATCTTGATTTACATTAATCAACAAGGTAACACAAACAAATTTGCATACTTTTTCATCAAATCTGCATATTTTTGTTAAAAAAAAGAAAGTATGACTGATCGACCAGTCTAACGCCTAACGGTTGGGCTGTCTCACATAAGAATTCGTACGTAAAATTAAATTACCTGAAGGATGAAGAAAGCAGCCCAAGAAAGGGTGGCAAAGATGAGGAGGATTGAGCCCTTAAACCAATCCTTATCAGAAGCTTGAGATTTGACATTATTAGAATTATTTTGTGTGTTATTAGTATGAGTATTGTAATTAGACCAAAACAAGTTCAAAACATGGCCTTTGTACAATGTCATCAACATGGCCCCACAAACTGTTACTATTGTCCCAATTATCTTTGCTTGGCACCTCAATTTCTTCAACTCCAATTTCTCCATCCTAGCCAAAAAATCATCATTTTTGTATCAAATATCAATTAAATCAAATAAGTTTTCTATATGTATGTTGAAAATTCATTTATTTTTTTTGAAAATTATGTTTTTATTTTTAAAATTTTTAATGTATATTACCTGCATAGGACTGCCATGATGAATGTCATTGCAGGGAGCATATTGCTCATGGCACATGAAAAAGTAGGGGATGTGAACTTGAGCCCAGCATAGTAAAAATTTTGATCAATCACAGGCCTAAAAAGAGAAATTGAAAATAGGCATAAGGGGTGAGGAAATATCGAGTCGAAACCGAAAAACCAAAACAAACTAAACCGTGCAATTCGGTGTTGGTGCGGTTCAATTTTTTAAGCGACTTTTTTTTTCATTTTTTTTTTTCTTGATTCGGTACGGTATTGGACATAACAACACAAAAATTGAATAGAAATGTGTAGATTGATATATAGATTGATAAACTCACCCAAGAAGTCCTAAAACAAAGAGCTGCATGAAAATTGTGAATGTGATCTTAGGCCTCACTTTCCTATAGCAAATAATTAAATAACCATTACAAGTATTAGATCATTATTTACATTAAAGTTTGTAAATTACCAAAAAAAAAAAAAAGAAAGGAATTTTTGAGGGGCACCTTTCAAGAAGAAGGGCAAATGGGGCAATGACAATAGTAGCAAAGGCATGCCTATAGACCACAAGCACATAATGGCTCATGCCTTTATTAAGGGAGACTTTAGTGATGATGTTCATTCCAGCATAACCAAATTGCAAGCATATCATGGCTATGTAAGGCTTGGCCTTCTCAAGGAAATTACCAAAGCACCCTATTGATTCCATTTTTTTCTTATCTTTTTTTTGTGTTAGCCTAGGCCTAAATATAATAGATGTTCTTGTTAGAAGTTAGAACAAAAGGTTGTTAAAAAAAAAAAAAAAAAGGAAGAAAGTAGCTCTAGAGAGGAAAACACTTGAAGAGGTTGTGTTTGTCCTAAGGAAATGAAGGGTTTTCTTGCAAGCTATTTATAATAAGCACTTGGGTTTTGGAGGTGGGGTTTGCTTTTTAAAGTGATGGTATCTATTCTTGAATAACTCATTATTGGGCCGGGCCGGGCCGGGTAGTGAGCTTTATTTTTGCTATTTGTTTGTGGGTTATTCTTGAATTGATTCAATTGTTACAATAAATTCATTATAAAGACCTATATTAATAAATAGATTTAGGGCGTCTTGACGAGATAATCTGATGCCGTAGTAGCTATATTCGGAATTGTCGGGGCGCACGTGGCCCGATGAGATAATGTGATTATGCAGCTATATTCGGAATTGTCTGGTCGCACGCGGCCCGGTGAGATAATGTGATGCTGCTACGACTATACTGTGAATTGTCCAGTTGTTGCTAGTGACCCATGAGATAACGCGTACCAGTGGTACGCAGAATTGTCGAGTTTTTCGGTGGTGATTGAGCGAGATAATATGATGTCGTAGTAGCTATAATATGAATCGTCGGGTAGCTATGCGGCTCGGTAAGATAAAGTGATGTTGTTACGACTATACTGTGAATTGTCCGGTTGTCGCTACGTGACCCGATTTGAAGACGCGAGCCAGTACCAACCAATTGTTAGGTTTTTTGGTGGTGATTGGATGAGATAATCTGATGTCGGAGTAGCTATAATCGGAATCGGTGGGTTGTTACTTGTTATGCGGCTCGGTGAGATAATGTGATGCCGGCTATACTGCGGAGGCAGAGGGCACCATCCAACGCATGTACCGACTGTATGACCTATGCCCACAGTTGGGAGCTTGGTGATGATAGTTGTTCGGTGAAAAGGTGGGGATATATTAATATAGATATCATTTAATATTATTTTTTTATTTTATTTTATACAGATTTATCCGTTATATCAAAAATATAGACTAGTTATATAGTCTGTTAGTCAAAATTAATAATGATGACCAATTAACTATCGTTAATTCAATTAGATATAAACTAACCTCAACACTAAAATAAGTCCAATAATACAACTAATTAGCAGTACTGAAGTGATAAAAATGAATTAATTTGGGCGAATATATGTAAGTCCACTTGTATTTTCAGGGGTTAAAACTTAAAAACTAATATATTAGTGGGTTCCGTATATGCTTTTAAAGGTGATTTTGATAGTTGCCAAAACAAAAGATGAGTTAGTGATGGCCGATGCTATCATTATCTTATGCTAAGAATTGCACAATAAAATTAAAATTTAGGAGAAAATGTGTAGTAAATATATATATATATATATATATATATATTATATTTGTCGAGCTCGAGGTGTTGATAGTAGAGTTCGAACCTTTATCGAGTTTAGTGTTTAAAGAAGTTTAAATTTGTACCTTAACGAGTCGAATCAAGTCTACTTGCTTTGATCTTATAACTTCTTTACATCCACTATACAAAATTAGTTAATTATTCATATGAAAGCTATAATCATGAATATTGCCGTCATAAAAAAAAAAAAAAAAATGCAGCCGCATGTTTACGTGTAGTCACGAACGCACGGAATATAAGCTAATGATCACAATAGGCTTAATGCATTATCTTATATATTCTCTGTTTGCTGATAAAGATATACCACTACTAATACTTATGTACAACATGAGTGTTGAATTAAAAAATATATGTGTAACGTTATTTATGTCTAATACCAAACCTAACTCCAGAGGAAAAATAATATAAAAGCAACCTCACGAAGCATTGATTTTCGCCATATCAACATCCGAAACGTGAGAATCTGTCACCTAGGCTCGATACGTTTTGAATTGATATATATATATATATATATATTAGGTGAGGATGCCAGATTCCAAGCACCTGCTGATGGTAGATTTGATACCAATTAGATTACTAGTAAGTTACTTAGTGGGAGAATGATAATGTCAAAACTACGTTATTAAAAAAAAATAATAATAAAAAATACATCTTATGGATCTATGATTCGAGTCAATAAGCCCTAAAATAAATAAACAAAAAAATAAAAATTGCAAAATTTTGGAGAAATATACATCAATTCACATATCAAACGGTAGGTATATATACAAATTACAAGTCCACTTATTTGAGACCTTGTTTGAGAAATAGATGATTGTTTTAGTAGATAGCGTATTGTATTAGCTGATTTGACTAGCAGATTCAATTAACGTTATGTCAAATAAGTATCTGATAGATATATAGTCAAAATTTATGGTTGTTACTTTGTATTACCTTTTTTTCGAGTCATTGCTAGAATATACAATTGTGTGTTGTCCTACATCGTCTATACAGGGAAAATAGATCTAACTTATAAGCGTAGTAGGATACTTCTCCTACCACTAATTGGTTTTGGAATGAAACCCCACTGAGACCCATCTAAGCTCACCATGCACCTTCAGCCCCCTTCAATCATCTGTTCCCAAAAAATTCTCAAATTGTTGTTCTTTTGAGTTCTTTTTGTTTTTCTTTAGAATTAGTTTTATCGGACGTTTCTAGTCCAAAAAGCTAATCAAATAAACTTGTTACCAAAGAAGCAAATTAGCAGATTTGATATGTTAATTTAGCACCATTCCGTTAATAAACTGACGAGTCCTATATATTAAGCTTTAATTAAATGAAATAAATATGAAGTTCAATAAGATTTTGTATTTTTATTATTAATTAAGGTAGGAGATGAACCACGTCATGGACTCGAATGCGAGTTTCCGAGTCGAGCAATCACTAGTGTTTGTCTAGACAACATCAACAACGTTGTCTTCTCTAAAGCGATATCCAATCAATGAGACCCCACAAGAAAGATGTTTTCATGCAATATTGGCCATTAGGCTAGCATTGCATATTTTTTATTTTATTTTTTCAAAAAAAAAATAAAATATATATATATATAAAATTATCACGTTCAAAAAATAGATTAAAAATTTGAAATGAATTTTATTTAGAATAAGTAAATAGTTTCAAACTATGAACGCATATAAAATCTATATTAATAGATATATATAAAAGTTTGATTATTTTTTAAATAGTAATTATTTCCCGTAAAAAAAAAGTGTTTGCTAATTCTGGAAACTATTTAAATATTTTATGTTATGTTTTAAAGATACAGTTTAAGTAATTGCAGATGATTAATTAAGGTAATAAATTACATATAAATTTCTTTTGTATTTCAAGATATTCATATAATATATTTGTACATATATATCATATATTTGTACATAAAATATCGATATCTATCACATTTCTAACAAACATTAGATTTACTTATATATTTTTAAATTAATCACATCAATAAATAATATTAATATACATTAAATAATTACCATTATATATATATAAAAAAAATATTACTTCTATAAATGTTATAAATAATATTGACATTATACGACAATAAAATTTTTGAATGAAATAATATTTGAATATTATGACGAACCAAAATATGTAAAATTCATATTTGTTGTACTAAAAAATAAACATGTATGTTAAAATATTATTTATATTAATATAGGCGGATCAACGAGCTAATACATTATTAAAATAAAGCTCTGCAAAAAGATTTTATATTACGGATCACCGTGCATCGCACGGAGTTCTCATTATTAAATATATAACAAGATGTGATATAACAATAAAATACTAATAAAATAGTATGATCGATAGTTATAAACGTGTCAAAGGGCGAAAAGTATCTTTCGTTGAAAATATATAATAAAAGTTATTATTTTTAATTGAGCTAGTTAGATATGTAGTATTAAGGGGATGATATAAATAACATTTTAATATATATATATATTGTTTATTAGAACCGGGAAAGAGAGTGTTGTCCCACCAGATGAAGCGCACCATAAGAGTGAGTCTAAGTGCACCTTAATGAGGTTCTATCCAAAAATCTATTGGTGATGGGAGGAGTAGCCCACTAAGCTTATATATTAGACTCATTTTCCCTACAGAATCACTATGGAACAACTCACAGGTGATATTCCAACACTGTTAAATTATATCCAAACTTTTAATTTATTTTTTCTTTAATTTTTTCTTATTTGGATTTGATGTGACTCAGAGTAAAACTATACCATTGTTATGAAAACCTAAGAGATTGATGAGCAAGAAAGTGGATGAAAATGTAGCCAATTTTGAAGATTTTAGTGGATAAGAAAAAGAATGTGGGGGTGATTCACAACTCACACAAACACTAGCTCAATTAGTACAAAGTATATATGGCCACAATTGATTAAAAAGAGTGTTAAATGATGCAATGTGGTTAAATGTTTCTCTATGGATTTTCTTTTTCTTCCCATATTGAGGACCAATAATCATGAAACTCACACCACCATTTTCATATAAGCTTTGAGCTGGTGTGTTAATTAGCTAGTGGTTGCAATTTTATTCTTCACCCAATAAAATAGGTTAAAAAAAAAAGGAAAGTCTTCATATCAAAGGAGATGCAGTGTATGAAAATTGGTGTGTCCAATTGATTCAATATTAATAGGACAAAATACATATTTAGCGGTGTAGTCAGATTTTTTTTTTTTTTTTTTTTTCGTGCACTACAAGAAAATACTTCAATTCCAACGACAAATTCCAACGGCAAAACTTTCCGTTGGAAATTCCAATGAATATTCTAACAAACTTAATTTTATATTGGAATAAGTGTTGGAAGGTTGAGGAATTCCAACGGATTTTTTCCGTTGGAATAGTTGTAGGAATTTATTTTCATAGGATTTTCCGTTGGATTTTAGCTATTCCAACGGCCGTTTTTCCCACGAATTTTTATACGTAGGAATATCCGTTGGAATAGCTATTCCAACGGAAACAACAGAAAATTTTCGTTGGAATGTAAGAGTTTTTTTGTAGTGCGTGGGGCTATAGAACCTTTTTTATTTGAATCGAGTTGGTATCGAAGCAGGTTATTTCTTCTTGTGAATGTTCAAGTTCGACTTGTTCGCATATATAGGGGTTTGGGGATTTAGAATTTTAGGCTTTGATTTTAATTAACGAGCCGAGTTGAACTTTCACAAGCTGAGCTAAAGCTTACATTTCTGACATTGGAAATGAGAGATTATTATACTATTGAATCCATGCACAAGACACTACATTCTTATAAAGCATGCCAGCATTAATGGTGAAAGTTGAAAAAAAAAAAAAAAAGATCCACATTTATATGAAATATATTCTAAAGAAAGGCGAGAAAACTCAGCTAACTCAGGCCTCTCTAAGAAAGATCCACATTTAGCATATCCATCTTTTTCTTCCTCGAGCTCTGCTTAGATATTTTGTCTGATAAGCGTCACATAATCGACTTGAGGATCGATTTTAATTTCTCGTCAATTTCCTCCACATACAGAGTGTAATTCAAATCCTCAAGGTCCAAACAGCTAATATGTTTGAACAAGAGAGGAACAGGTAATTGCTTTTGCGTATATGTACTGAGAAAACGAAGAATTTATAGCACACAATTGTACATATTCATTTGATTGTTTACTAGAAGTTCATAATCAGAACAAGGTAAAACTTAGGAATCAAACATTAAGGATGTCGTTAGGCTGACCTAAACAAGTAGACAGTCATACTTACTATTTCAAACTGAAATGTCATACTTAAAAAAGAAAAATAAATAAACTAAAATTATGTTATGTCATAGCAAAAGTATGACGATTAAAAATGCATGGGACATCAACAATAATAAGGCAAGCAGCTAGTTTTCTCTCCCTAAAAAACAAAAAGTCCCCAAATCAGCTTTAAACCCTTGGCCGAGCAGCGTGCCTTCCTCCAATAGGGCCTCCGGGCCATCTCGACGGCGACCATCATCGGGCGTGCAGCCGACTTCAAAGGCTCGTCAGACTGGCCGTTTTTTTCTCTCATGTGGGGCGTCAAGTACACCCTTTTGGTTTTTGTCGCTTTCTAGATCGCCAAGATGGGTCTGGGTTGGTGGCTCCCCGAAGTTTGGGCGGCAGCGAGGTTCCAGCGAGCCGGCGACTTTGGGTTGTGGTTTCGATCATCACTTTAGGCGGTGTCGAGGAGGAGAACGGGTTGTTTCTCTTCCCTCCCGTCCCACGATGTCCTTTTTTTTTGCCGTCTCGGTTGCAATGGCAGAGTCGTGTCAGGGTCGGGTCTTTTGTGCTGGGCCCTGGTAGTTGGGGCTGGGATGGTGGAGCTTGTTTTTATTCTGCGGTCGTGGATCTATGCCCAGTCGGGCGGGGTAGGGTTTTTTTCTCGGATATGGTTAGGCATTTATTCTGCAGTTTCTTGCTTTGCGATGTGGACCCGGTCTCTGTATGTGTGGTTGGTTGTCCGTGGGTGTCGGCGTTTGTTTGTGTTCAGTTTGGTTTCACTGTTGTGGGAATGACTCTAGTTTAATTATTTTTCTGTTTTTGTTGTTGTGTTTGTGTTGTGTCGTTAGTATGCGTTTGTATTTTTTTTCTCCTCTTTAGGAAGAGTCTATTTTTCTTTTTTTTTTTTTTTCCGAAACGATAGATTTGCTCAATAAAACGGGAAAACATAACATAGTCTTTACAACCGAAGAGCCCACTGGCTCTAATAATAAGAAAGAAAAAATTGGAGAGACACTCAAAATGGTGCTCTAATACAAACAGAACAAGGACAACAAACAATCCCTATACAAATTATAATAACAGATTGGGCAAAAGTTTGACTCCTTCAGCTCTAATCACATGAATAAAGGCAGCAGGATTGCAGAAACCTTCAACATTAACCAAACCACAGTTACTCGCATAATGACACCAAGCCTGCAATTGAATCAGACAACTAACTCAGTACATTCCACTGAACCATAAGGACCTGGAACTATACCTCCTCAGCTGGCCTACAACTTCAGTTGATATCTTGAAATTCAGCTTAGTTCTTCAAAGTTGTTTCCACCACTTTGATTTCAGGCATTAGATTTCTTTTGAATTTCCAAAGGTTTCGGGATTTCCACAATCACCAGAGAATATATGTAGTAAGTTGAATTATGTTCTCTGAAGTAGTTTTCTTATCCATATAGCACACTAACCACCACCAATATTTGAAAGTGCAAGCAGGAATTTTCATGGAGTCTCAACTCAAGGGTGCCAGCTTCCACACTAACTGTGCTCTTTTACAGTGGAAAAAAATGTGATCCATAGTTTCTAGCTCTTCTCCACAGACTTGGCAGATAGGATCGATGTTCATACCTCTGTGTTTGAGATTCTGACTTGTGGGAAGAATGCTAATTTTGCCTTTCACTTTCATGCTCCAACTCCTCTTCCTCACTTTCAATTCAACACCAGCCGAGATACTACTTTCAGCTTTATCAAGGGCCTTAAATTTCTGCAGACTAAAACTAGAGTATGCACTGGCAACAGAAAACATACTTTGGAGTCCAAACTCCAGAACCACCTATCTGTTTGCTCAGGATTCAACCCTTTCACATTACTAGGAAGTTTGTATTCTCCTGTTCGGGAATGCGCATTCTTCTATTAGGGAGTTTTTTGCATGTTTGTAGTGTTGTGTTGTGAATTTAGGTTATCTTTGGTAGGCCTTCCCATTCGGCTACTGAGCTGATTGTATTTCTGTTGTTTTAGTAATGAATTCTATCATTCGAAAAAAAAAAATTATATATATATATATATATATATACATATATATATATATAGGGGGAGGATCCAATGAGTACACTCCTTAAAATGAGTATACTCCTTAAAATGAGTCCACTTCTTAAAATATATATTAATTAAATAATAAAATAATTATTAGTTGACTCCGGCGTTGACCGTTGACTTCCGGCGTTGACCGTTGACTTCC